CGTCACGAAAAGTTCAAGGTGTAAATGCACTAAAGGGCGTTATGTTCGCACAGGCTCTACTGAGCACGCCGCGGTCCGCCCCGGATAAGGACGGTGCTTATATTGGTTTGTGAGGCGCCACATCAGTGGCTGAACTCAGGAACTCCTGGGAGATGTGAATAATTTACTGCGTTTCCTTGCGTCTCCTATCTCCTGGGCTTATTCTAGTATCAGTACCCACGATTGAATACCCCCCCCCCAGACCCCCAAGCCATGACACGCGCGGCCAATCCGTTCTTGGTCGAATCCATGTCACCCCTTCACTGATCTCTCCCTCAGCCGCGGCGTCAGCCAATCTCTCTTCGCTGTCTGTTTGTTGGGAACCTTCACAACCCTCAGAGGGAGGGTGGCGGTCGTTTTTAAGATTCAATGAGAAGCTCTCCGCTGCTTTTCTCACACACCCGCTTCCATCGTACATCCCAGGAGGCCCGTCGCGCGGCAAGAAGGCAAAGTCAGCGGACGAGTCGCGCGCGTACTATAGGGATTCGCGTCAAGTTAAATAGAGTGTCCCACTGCACGTCCTACATCGCACACCACGCGCTGCAACTCGTCCGCCGACTCTGCCTTCTTGCCGCGCGACGGGCCTCCTGGGGGTACCCATCGCTCCATACGCACTTCTGCTTCCATTCGGACGAAACAATCGCACCAGTAATCCTGGGACTTGCCTCTGAGTAAGCTTGCAACGATTTATATGTTCATCATATTTACGAGCATTTACATATGTATACAACGTAATCGGTTAATTAATAATTATTATACATGGTTGAAAAATAATCGAAAATGCGGTAGAAACTGATGAGAATCACCACTACATTTTTCTGCCTCAACCCCCATATGTGCAGTTACTTGAAACGAAAGCAATTATGTTCTAGAATGCAAAGAGCTGTTCGGATAGCATTTACGCGATAGTTTCAATTGAAGCCATTCCCACTTCCACTAGAAACCTTTACCTTGGAGCAAACCTTGTCTTCGTAGAAGCTTCGCCAGCCTATTATGATTACTTTCTATCTCTCTTCCTCTTCCGCCCCCCCCCCCCTTAAGCTTCAGGCCGATTGTAGTCTTGCCGAATTAGTCGAATCGCTAGTCGTCTGCGTAGCGAGCCGTTGAACCCCTCGCGTGGTCGCGATGCAACCGCGGACGCTTGAGAGTTGCTCGATTCGCAAAGTCTGACAACTGTCTCAGACGAGTTTGCAATCTGCTATTCGGGTCGTTTGTAGCCGTTCCAGTACGATTACATTAGCTGCAACGGTCTTGATATCTATCGACTGCCGATTTGAATTGCGCCAGGTCCAACCGAACCAATGCTGTGGCACTGGTAACTGCGTGGGGTATGAACGCCCGAGGGAGAAGGTGGAACTCCAAACGGGATAAAAATTCCATTCTTGAGGGGGTTAGGGGGTTCGGCCCTATTGACTCAGTTTGTTTAGCTCGACTAACACGATACAAAATTCACCATCTGGTAGAGTCTTGAGTAAGCATAAGCCCTGACACCTCTGGAGGGGTCTTCTCGTACACCACCCCTCTCCCCCCCCCCGTCGCACCCTAAAGTTGGCAGCCCTATGGTCGTCCTATTTAGCCCTTGAGTCCTAATTCCAGGCAGACATCTTACCCACGCCTCCCGATGAGGCGGATAGTCTCTCAAAGCTCAAACAAATGTCTCCTCCCCCCCCCCCTCAGCGAGTGATCCCAATGGCTGACCACCAACCAGGGTCAACCCTATGTTGCTACAAGTAGCAACGGGGGGTCGTACTTGGATGGACCCAGGAGGGGGGTCGTACTCTCTCGGTGGCCGGCAGCGGGATTTGTGGTAAATGTCCCTACTGATCATAACCATGTTTCAGGAAGAGCATGAGAAAAAGGAAGACTTGCAGAAACAGCAGCTGCAAGACATGTAGCATCGTTCAAAAAAGTGCCCCCACCATGACATGGGTCCACGCACGTAACCACATTTGAAACTAAAGTGTAGCTGGAGTATTGCCTAAGACAACATGGACAATAGTCAGCACATTACGTTTACGCAAGATTATTGATGCTAGAGCGTTTATAAACCCCTTACTTCCGAATGACCTTCCAAATGAATCAGCGAATCAGGAGTGCGACCGAGGCGTGGCGCACACCAAGACAGGGGGATACCAGTGCAAGCGCATGCACAAAGCATTCTGAACACATCCTATGGTCAGCACGATATCGTTTTCCCTGGAGGTTGCGGCCAGTGAAACCTAAAAAACCCGCTTTCTTAAGAGAATGGCTTGGAGAATGCCCTCAAAAAAAATGTAGCAACGGGACTAATTTTTGAACTACTGACTTTTAAGAAACGTTTGGGTACTTTTTAGAAAGCTTGAATCCTGTAGTTTCTCATACCGTGTTCAGCTTCCCAAATAAATGAGTTTGAAGGAAGTTATGGTCGTTTAAAGCTTGAAAAGTCGCGGTTTCAGAAAAATAGTTCCGCGAACCCCCCTAAAATGTAGCAACGGGACTAATTTTTGAATTACTCGCTTTTAAAATACCTTTGGGTACTTATTAGGAAAGCTTGAATCCTGTAGTTTCTCATACCGGGTTCAGCTTCCCAAATAAATGAATTTGAAGGAAGTTATGGTCGTTTAAAGCTTGAAAAGTCGCGTTTGCACAGAAAAAAGTTTCAACGTGCTAAATTTTTACTAAATTAGCTTTCGCTCAAATTTCAGCCATGATTGGAGAGAGAATGAGTTGAATTTTTTAAATCAAATAACTCCGGCGCGAAAGCTCGAATATGAAGAAAGTTATAGCCCTAAAAAGAGGAAGGTGAAAATTGTAGTGCAAATTCCTTTCTTGTTCAATAAATTAATCATTTCAGATTGTTTAAGAACAAATCCGCTCTAATTAAGAAGGATGACCGTCGGTGATCCAGAATCCACCTCCGTCTTCCGAGGAACCTGAAATTTCACGAGGAAAAATTCTTCTACTTCTCGATTTCCCCTTTCGACACCTGTTCCCCTTCAACAAACGCGCCCCACTGCGGTCACCGAGGGCGCGATCCACCACAGAAACGTAACCTGTCAAAAACCTGTCAAACCTTTAGCCCTCAGCCATGAGGTCCGTATCATAAATGACTTTATGTCCTAATTCCATGCCCTACGCTGTTTTTCGGAATGGTAACTCGTCTTTTATGAAATTTGAACCGAAATTCAGCATTCTTGTCTAAAAAAGTTTTAATTCATATGATTATTATTGTTTAAGTAATCTTATCACCACTTGAGCTACACACAGGGGGGTCGTACCAAATCGCCCATGAAGGGGGGGGGTCGTAGAAAAAATCCAAAAAGTAGCAACGATAGGACCGACCCTGCTCCATACCCAACACGGGCGGATTTTCGAAGAACTCGCGCGCTGAATAAACTAGCGCTTGTCACTTTGTGGGGAAGATGATCTTATAATTCAGATGCTTCTTCGCAATTTCTCAAAAAACCAGTTAAAGAATCATGTCGGATCAAATCATCTGACAAAGTAGACGTGTGTTCTGTTCGCTGTGCTGAATATGAAAATAAAAGGTAGTGAATATAAAGCATAATATGACGTCATATGTCTCATTAGATGTTTTTCGGATGTTCGAATTCTGCGAAATCCTGAAAATGATTTTAGCTATTGCATAACCTTTTTATAGAGTTTGAGCAGCACTCACTATCATGAAAGTAGCACCAAGTAGAAGCGCTTTCGATTTCACGTCGAGATTCATTGGAACTGGAAGTCATGAATTGTTTTCAGCTATATGAGAAATGAACACGAAGGATTTTTAAGGTAAAACGCAAGGAAGTCACAGGTATACGATCTGGTCGGGAATTGAAACTACCCGCAGAGATCCCAACTCAACCTGGCACGGGAGGGTACAAATTTAAAGGCATAGGCATACGTAATTCGTTTCGGTCGGCCATGGAACTTGAAGCGTCAAGTGATAAATCAGTGAAAACGAAGCAATGGGAAAGGCCAGAAACCCTTGAAATGGGGCCGTTATTTGCCTGCCGACTTTGGGTGCTGGACTCCATTTCTCGACAGTTCTCCATCGGCGAAGAGAACTTCCGTTCTCTGCCCTGTATGACAGGATTCTGACAGATCGTGGGCCTTGGAGTTCAGGGCCAGGGTCAACCGTCCGTTGGACAAAGTCCAACGCGACGACGAGAGTAATGCCGAGAGTGAACGTACGCACGGAGACACAGACGGCTCGCGGGTGGCGAGAGTGAATGCCGGCGCGGAGAGCGGTGAACATCGGTCCAACGTCGCTCCAATATCGGTCCAACGTAACGGTTGACCCTGCTGGTTGGAAGCACCCGTTGGGTTTGGCGACATTGCGTACAGCTTTGTGGCTCAATGTAGGTCCGCGAAGGTGAGTTTGGAATGGGCGTGGCTTCTACGAAAACGAGCGAGAACTCGAGGGGAAGGGGCGTGGCTTCACAGAATCTGTAAAGAGTTTAGCGAGATTTTCAGAAGTATCCGAATCGTGAAAGATGAAGCCGATGCGTTATTAGTTCCAGGTAAATTCGAAAAGAAGTCAAGGTACTAATAAGTAAAAACCCGATGAGGAAAGTTGAAGAATTTCCTAATCATTCTTTTTCATATTTTTCTCCCAGTTTTCTTTTTCACCGACTGGATTCACATTTAATTATGATTTCAAAGCGACGCACTGTTCCAGGAAAGTCCAGTAAGGGATAAGAGGAGGATCTTGCGTTTCCTGGTCGCGATTTAGCGAATGGGAGCAACTATTCCGCGGTTTTGGGATTCAACTGGTTTATGGATGAAGTAAGAATGAGCTTCAGTTGTAATGATTGAATAAATATTGACTGAGGACGTTAGACTTTGCGACTGCCGCGCTCGCCCACGCGCCGGGATCGCGAAGTCTGAACGCATCCTTACTTCCTTACTGAGCGTTACCTCGTACCATATCCCCATTTCTTCATGTTGCAGGGTAAATGAAACAATGCGGACTTACATGACACGCTGAACGTATCCGCGTTTGTGTACATCTTCACGAAGAAAACCGCGCCATTTCTTCGTGATGTTGCCTGATGGAGTGCCAGACGGCGTTGTTACCTTTAAACGACGACATTTATCGAATACATTATGAAAATAGAAACAACAATCAAGATTTGAGAGAACCTAAAGGCACACCCCACTATCGAATTGGTGTGATTCTTCCATCAATTTTGATAGTTGAGTGTGCCTTTGAGTTCTTCAAAGTGAAAATGAAAACAGGGATCCGAGATGTTTTGGCAGAAGAGAAGAGGAAAATACAGCAAAAACACTCAACCAATAAACTCTCCTTTTTTGAAATTGGGCTGTGCTAGGTCGAGGAGACACCATGCGAGGAGGAGACAGGACAGGCAAGGAAGCACAACACGAGAGGGTCCTAATCTTAAGCGACATCGCGTGGTGATCTGCTGCTTTACACAAGCTTGTCTATTAATTGGTCAGTCAAAAATTCCGGGTTACCCCGATAAGCTGAAGAATGATAATAATAAAGATAAGTAGGCGTATCAAATAATGATACTTGGTATCATGGTCAACCGATTTTCCCATGTGGGGGGTCGTATTTTGTAGCTCTATAGATCGTATTTATAGTGAAGGAATGTACTTTTTGAGGAGACCTGTGAAGGGGATTCAATGACACCATTCAAGGAAACTTTGGTTCGATCGGCCGCGAGGGGAGTCGTGTTTTGGGGACCCCTCCAAGGGGAAGAGGGCCCTCCAATTTCTGACTTTTTACGACGTGGCAGCCGACCCTACTCGGTGTCTATATTTCTAGTCATCTTTGACATCTCCCGTCTCCTTTATGGGAACACTATCTCACATATAGCTAACACTGGCCATCGCCGATATTCGCCCAGTATAACCGCGACTTCAGACAAAGCGAAATGTTCCTTGCAGACTAGCACTCAAGAAGGCACAAAGCGTCACAGAGTTCCAATTTTTTGAAATCCTTGACTAAATATTACCGGAAATTCGACGTTACGTCCACATGCTATGAAGGGTCCATCAATTGTGAGAACCAATTGGCCGCCTTCATCCTTCACGTCGAAACTGCTGGCACAGCAAGCTCGACGCTGAACCACGCTGCCAATCTGAAATTTCATTCGACACGGTCGACAACAGCTCTGTGAATTCTGAACTAGCAGATCTACAACTTTTCCCTCTAAACAACAAATAATAAATTACAAATAAAAATAGTGAATCTACGCAGGGGCAACATTCTGCTGGGCACCCATCGACTGGCAGTGGGAGGGAGCGGTCATTCTTGAACTTCTTTGAAGGTGGCTTCTAACGGCTGAGATGGTCCTTTTGAAAATATTTTCGATAGGGAATTTTCTAGAAATAGTGGATTTTGCTTCACCAAATTCATGGAACTTTCGTATTCATCCAGTTTATAGTCAAAAGGGAAACCCCGGCAATGGTCGAGACTTCTTGTCAGGTAAGTCGAATGGGGACCTCCTGCCAGATTCGTGTGGAAAGCTCCTACGAGAGAGTGAAGGTTCTGCGCTGATCCTCGAAGCGCGCAATGTTTGGTCGTGGTTCTACGCTACCCACGTCTCACAAAAATTATTCATTTTGAAAATACTCGATCG